TATTTTATAGTGATGTGAATTGTGTGCTAATAGAAAAGTGAGCTGATGCTCCTCTTATAGAGGACCGACAAACTATGAAATTTAAAATCAATCAAAATGAAGATCAAGTGATGTGTGAATCGAATGAGTCAAGTCAGTCAGGAAAGTGAATTGAATGAGTCAAGTCAATTGYGTGGATCCATAGGATTGAATGAGTCRTGRATGTAGAGTGTGTATGAATCATAGGTATGCGTAATATGTATGTGTACTAATAAATATGAATCATACCCATGKTCTCATAWCCTATGGACAGCATGCTGTCCGTAGGCAATACTGGGGCAGTAACCAGGCCTGCCCCAATGGATACYACATTGYTGAATTACAGTCCTAACAAGGGGACGAGGGGGAGAGAGTTCCATTTCATTCTCARATACGGTTGCCCAGTTRTGTCAAACTCTCTTYTGTGGACCATGTTTGATTTTGGACCTTTACCAATGATGTTGTCATAGCATTCCTTGTCTTTGCTGGATGTGGTCAATGTCCTCGGAAAATACCAAAGAATGATTCAGATGCCCATGCAAAACCTGAGGAGACATGCCCAGCTGAGGAGAAGTTGGTAGTGTTGGTAATCAAGTTGGTAATCAAGTAATGGGCCTCTMTTTCAAGCTGYACAGGCTTTGGGACAATTGGATTTCCATTGGGTACCTTCTGTCTCCTCCAGCRATTGAATTTATTTATTCCTGAAAGAATGCTTGGTTCCACTACAGGGATAGTTCTTGCCATATCTGTGAACCACCAACTTCCAGTCACCTGGACTAATGAGAAGGATATCATTGATGATGGCCACTAATGAAACAAACAGGAAAGTYAACTGGCATGAGAACAGTGGAGGATATGGATACTATCATTCTGTTGGGAACACATACAGCATAAGGCAGAGTAGTGAAATTGATACTTCTGTTGTTTGAGAATTGTAATATCAGTTGGTAGGATGTCATTGCCAAAAATTTTGTGACAAGGACATTCCTATCCTCAAGAAGGCAGCAGGAAGATAGCAATACTTCTGAAMGACTTTTTAGTAATCTAGAACCTTGGTTCATTGTGCTTTCCTCACTATTGGTAGTACTTCTTATGCTACGCCATAATTATCATTGGGGGCAAATCAGCAGCATCACCCTTTGAAATTTTATATGGATTACTACTACTGACAGATGATTGGTCAGCACAACATCTAACACAGCCAAGAACAGTAGTACTAGAATTAGCACTTGTTTCAATAGCAAGGGTCAATGTACATTTGTTTTCTTACGCAGCAGGTGTGCACAAGAGCAMCAACAAGAATATTCATACTACTCACTTGACAGTGATGTTGAACAACAAACATAGTAGTGCTAGTAATGGACTAG